TTAGCACCTCTATTCACCGTAGTAAGGGTCTTTTAGGTGGAGTTCACACGGATGTTTGGGGGCCTTCCAAGGAGGTATTATTGGGAGGTAATAGATATTTGGTCTCCTTTGTTGGTAGCTGTTCTAGACGTGTTTGGGTTACAATCAAATCCCCTTTAGATAAAATCCTAGTAGTCTCCAACAGATTAAAGAAGTGTGAGATTGGCAGAAAGGTTAAGGTACTTCATTCTGATTTTGGTGGGAGGTACAAGAGGGACTTGTTTCTACATTTGAGCTGAGCTCACGACATTTTGAGACACTTTGGTGGAAAGAAAATCTTGGGACAACAAGATGAGATGGCAGATTTGATGAGCTGTTCCTTGCTGGAGGAGGACTGGCGTTTGATGTCGAGCACTAATTCTGGTATTGAGGCTTCGACATATTTGGGTCATCTTGGTCATAGGTTGTCAACTGCTGCGATTGGAGGTAAAACTCCATTGGATGTTTGGTCTGGTAGTGTCATTTCGGTTGAGGCTTCGATGAGGAAGCTAATTAACTCTCAGCAGGTGGAGAGTTTTATACAAAGTTTAGATGTATCACAGCGGGTGGAGAGTGATGCTACTCCACATTAGATGGAGATTACTCCAGATCATTCTACATCGTTTGGGATTCCAGCTGAGGTGACACAGTTAGGGGATCATTTGGATTTAGGTGCAGATGATGAGTTAGTTGATTTGAATGCAGCTGGTGGATATGATTTGGATACGGCCATTGGTTCACCTCAGGTGGAGGTGCTTAATTTGTTTCAATTTGGGACCATTGGGAGCGCTATCAGTTACAAAACCGTTGGTGATATTGGTGAAGAGTTACAAACTTTTCTATTTGATTGAGGGACTTTGGAGACCGTTTGGGTGAACTACGTGAAGGCTTGATTCCTTGTGCAAGAGGATATATAGGCAGTCATTTTATGATGCAGCCAATTTGATGGGTTGATACCGACGTTTTTTGGAGTTTGTTCACATTCTCATTTGGGTCTCGACTTGTTGTGGATTGAGTCCGTTGTTGTGATTTCGTTTTACTTCGTACTGGACGCAACAAGTGAGACATTTGGTTTGGTTGGTATCAGCTCGGTTTTGGGAAAACTTCACCGAGGTGGAGAATTAAAGAGGAAACAACGAAGTTCAAGAAATAGCGGAGGGCAGTTTTGAGTTCGGGCCGGTCGACCGTGAGTGGCGTAGCGGTCGACCGCGAACGTGCACGCAACCTGCAAAAGTATCTGGACTTTTTGCAGTCAACCGCGAGACCCTGTAGTGGTTTTTTGTTCTCTGTCGATTGGCCGATCGACCACGACTGGCACGGTAGTCGATCGCGATGCGGTTTTGGGCCTGGGCTTGGTTTCCTGTTCTGATTGGGTTTTCTATTTGATATAAATAGAAATACGTTTTGTTTAGGGTTATCGAATAGTTCCAATTGCTAGAATTGGATTTTGGGGTAGCTTGAAGGTGATTTTGAGCACATAAAAGGTGATTTTGAGCACATAAAAGAGAGATCTTTCTGATCAATTGTTTGAGGGTTTTGTTTGTGAGATTTGAGAGATTTGTTTGAGAGGTTAGTTGAGTGATCTTGTAATCTCTACTTTGTACTCTCTTGTTTGAGAGGTTAGTTGAGTGATCTTGTAATCTCTACTTTGTACTCTCTTTCTCTATAGTGGAAACTCATCCCCTCTACTTTGTACTCTCTTTCTCTATAGTGGAAACTCATCCCTTCTTGCCCCGTGGATGTAGGCAATTTACCGAACCACGTTAAACTTTTGTGTTTGAGTTTGTGCCGTTATTGTTTGATTTGAGTTGCCTTCTCTCTCGGTGTTTTGTTTGGTTCCGCGGTGTACAACAGATTTTGACTAGATGAATTTAGAGTTCCTCATGTGACTATGTTGACATTTTACGCTTTGAATCAGACACTTCCTAGGATGTATTAGAGAATGATACTATAGACCCAAATAATAACTAGTTGCATCTTTTTGTTCTTAATGATAAGTATTAGTTCATGTTTACACGAGTTTAATGATACATTAAGATAATGCGGAAGGTATAATTAAGTGCTTGATGCTAAAAATCACCTTCAAAAGCCCACTTGTGCTAAAATATCACTTCTAAGTATATACTTGTCTAAGGTGACTTACAATTAATATCTCTGAATGTTATTATGCAAATGTCGTTGTTGAAGGTGACATACAAACATACATCTAAAAACTCATACAATCATCAAATTTCCTTAAGATTCATGCTAATACCATTATCTAATTTGGTTATTGTTGATATTATTTCTGAGTAAGCTTATCTTATGTATTGCGATACCATTCAGAAGAAGAAAATTATGAGAATGGTTCCATGTCATAATCCTTAAAATCTGGTTTTCATTAATAATATTTCTGGGTAACCTTGTTTATCTCGCAAACACCTCTTTTATGAAATTTTAGGTGTAGCACACACTTAGTTGCAGTGGTTAATTACGGTGTTCCCCTTCTCTTTATTGCACATTTGCATGCTGAATATTGTGTATATTGTGGTGAACTATTGTATACACAGGGAAATCATTATTCTATTTGTCATCTTGAGAAATCATTGGATGCTAAGGGGCTGCTGGATCTTAAAACTTGAATGTAGATGGATGTAGATGAATCATGTTAATTATTTTAATTTTATGCCTGTACTGTAGATGGATGTAGATGGATGGTAATAGGAAATTTGCGGATGGAGAAAGTCTTGTTAACATTTGCCAAGAGGCTATACAATATATTTTTGTTATAGTATTTACATTCATGAGTAGAATGCAGTCTAGGAGTAGATCAATACATAGTGGACCAAGTGAGGAAAACAGAAAGCAAGAGAAAAGTAGAATTGAACACATAGAGCATATATATATAATGACTTCAGTCATAGTTATGTAAACTATATTAGAATGTGAAGTGGGTTGTCAAACTGGCAAAGCTCATCAGAGAAAATGGGCTACTAAAAGACTTAAGAAATATAACTGTAGAAGAGCAGCTTATCATTATATTGAACATTTTGGGTCATTAATCTAAAAATCGTATTGTGAAGTCTCATTTTATTAGATTAGGAGAGACAGTCACTAGATATTTTAATAACATATTAGAAGCAATTATTTACCTACATGGACGCTACATGAGACAAGCCCTCAATGATGTTCCGCAAAAAATCATTAACAATCTGCTATTCTACCTTATTTTAAGGTATATTTACATTTTAAGTACAGTTATATGTATACTCAATGAAAATAAATGTTAACTTAGAAATTTGATACACATATTATAAGATTGTATTGATATGATAGATGAGATTCATGTTGGTGCAATACTAGTGATTAATCTTGTTGCACGATTTCGAGACCGCAAAGCTGTTACACAGTGATTGCAGCTTGTACCTTAAACAAACTATTCACATATGTGTTAGTAGGTTGGGAGGGGTTTGCAAATGATTTTAGGATTCTCCAAGATGTATTATCTAGACCACAACCACAAGAATTGAAAGTCTATGATAGTAGTTGTTTAAAATTTTAACCTTAAAAAATTTGGATATTAATATGCAAACTTGACTTATTTACAAATTTTATTAAACAAATTGTAGGCAAATACTATATGTGTGATGTTGTGGTACCCCACCATGTCAGGTTTCATCTCTCTATATCGAAGTGTTCAATATCATTTAAAAGAATATACCCGTAAATTACCTAAGAATAAAAATGAGTTGTTTAATCTAGGGCATTTTTCTTTAAGGTCTAAGATTGAATTTACTTTTGGCACATTGAAGAATTGACTAAAGATATTGTGTCCTAAGCCATGTTACCCATTCTCTACACAAGTAGATGTTGTTTAGGTTTGCACAGTCCTTCATAATTTTATTGTAACTGTCGATCCAAGTAATGACCTACTCAATGAGTCCGATTTTAATGAAGATATTGATAGTAAGGTGGAAAATGAATCTGATAATAATTTAGTGATTTTTTTTCACAAACTTAAACCCAAAGAGAATAAACACAATCAAGAAATGAGTGGAAGACTCTTAAGGATGACATTGCTTGGGCGATGTGGGTTGACTACTGTGATAAGTATAATGATGATGTGACCACAGAGACTTAACTTTCATATTTGTCGATCTTATCTTAATCATTCATTTATTCTTAAGTCTTAACTCTATGTTTTGTTTTTTCCATTTATTATGCTTGCTTTTCATGATCATTAATTTAGGACTCAATAATGTTAATTCTGTTATATATATTGAATTTTTTGTTATTGTATTCATGTTTTGCTTATCTTACTAATTATATTGTATCTAACTCTCTCAATTAAACTAGTGATGGCTGATAATACCTCCTTAAGTGGGAAAGATAAAAATAAAGATAAGGATGTAGTTCCATCTCAACCTCATTTATCTCAACCTCCTCAGACTATGCCTCCAGCTAGTAGTGAGTTTTTCCATTTTAGCCTTCCTACTTTGGACAGTCACCTCATGCTTTTTCCAACATGCCATATTATAATGACAATTATTTCCAAATGCATCACCAACCGGGGTAATTTATGAACATGCTTAGTTCTCATACTCTATTTTAACGATTTTAAAGCCCTAATATTAGTGGATTGTAACTTTCTCCCACTAATGATCATGGCTCAACTTCCGAATCAGGTTCTAAACAGGTGCACATTGAAGAAGGCAACAAAGAAAAAGAATACTGAGGCTGGCGCCTGGCGGTTCCCGTATGAACGCTTGGTTTTCTTTTTTCCCCCATCCAAACTAGGGAAAAAGGTTGAACGCATTTCACCTCTTGATTTCATGATAAACCAAAAATGCAGACATTAAAAATACTTTTCCAAACGAACCTCCGAAACCTAAAAAAGAAATTTCCGGTATGAAAAAGTGTTTACCAGTAATAAGGTGAGCGAACCAAACAGGCCCTTATTGTATTGGGCTTGTTTCATTATCTAGGCCCATTAATAAGTTGCCTTCATGTTGCTCCGGAGCCATCCAAAGCGCTGAAAGCTCTAGAGAAATGGGTGCGCTCTCACGTGCGGCTCACGCGCTGTCCTTCCTCCTCCTCTCTCTTCTCTCCATCACCGCGGATGCTTCTTCTCTCTGCTCCAAGCAAGGTCAAATTGCTGAGCGTTTTAGTTTAAGCAAGTTTAGTACTGTACTTTTTGTTGGGTATCGTTTGTTAGCTCTTTAATCCTCAAAAGAATTGCACGAAATTCATTTTGGGTGTATTTAAATGCTTAGTCTGATCCAGCTTCAAGTGGGTTTTGATGGGTTTGTCTTATTTCAAATCAGTTTATTGGATTTTGGGTTCTGAAGTTCGCTGCTACGTTTCTTTGTTTTTTTCTTAATTTTTTTTGGTAAATTATGACATGGATTTTGATGTGCTTCACTGATTCCTCAACAAATAATAGTTTATCATTGGTGAATTGTAAGAAAAAGATATATTACTCATAAGCGTACCGCTAACCAACTGTGCATCTGACATCAATCCTCCTTTAGTAATTCATGAGTGCACAAGGTATCAAAATATTGTTTTCTGTGTCCATGATTATCAATTAATTATGGTAAGGTCCTGTATATATGTATTACAATCCTTTTAAATTGTACATTTTCTGCAAAATTGTGCAGTTCAAGTCCTTAGATCAAGGGAGGTATAGGCTGGTTGAAGTAAAATCTCACAATGTTGCTGTGATTACTTACAAATCAATGATTTCCCTCCCATACTGAATATTCTAAACAAGATCACATTAATTTTACTTTATTTTATTGATCATTTTGCAACCGTCACTTTCTTAGAATGGAGACATGTCTGAATATCAAGCAAGAAAATTGCTTTAATAGTTTCAATTCATGTTGCAAGTAACTGTCTTTTAATGATTATATATAATTATATTCATTAGACATTAATAAAACTAGCAATTCCTTAGTACTTGTTGTAGATTTAACCAGCTATAAATTTAATGGTTTTTCTGTTCTAGGTTCGTCATTGGTGAGAAACATAAGTGAAGCAACTCAAAGTGACTTTGGGAGAGGAGGCTTAGCTCATATCACTGTTGCAGGAGCTCTTTTACATGGAATGAAAGAGGTGTGTTGTCCGTACAAAGGATATTTCTGCTATTTCAGGCCATTAAGATAAATGTTTGGATGGAAGGTAATGTGGGGTAGGAGAAGGGAAAAAGAGAGTTACTCTGTTTGGGAGTTTTTTTAAGAGGGCTAAGGGAAGGAAAGGGAGGGAAAAAACGTTCAATTTTGTTTCCCTCCAAATTGGGGGGTAGAGGAGGGGAAGAGAAAGAAAGTAAAATTTCATAACGAAAGAGACATCTTGACCCTCTATCATATAATGAATTAATAGTTAAGATTCATTTACTTCCCTTCCCTTTCCATAATTAGAACTCTCAAACAAAATAATTTAACTTCACCTCCATTCCCCTTACAAAACCTCCAAACGAGATATTTTATTTTTTCCCTCCCCTTCCTCACCTTTCCTTTCCCTATCTTACCTTTCCTTCCCTTCCCTTATTGAACTCCCAAACATAGCATAATAAAGAGAGAAGGGATCATACCTCTCTAACGTTTTGGGCTATGATTATCATGTTAACATGGTATTAGAACCCTTACATTTTTAGCTATTTTGTCAGCATGAAAATACTATTTAGTTGGACATTTGATTATCTAATTTATGTTTCTTGCTAGGTTGAGATTTGGCTCCAGACATTTGCACCAGGGACAAGGACACCAATTCATCGACATTCATGTGAAGAAGTTTTTGTGGTCTTAAAGGGTAAAGGTACTCTTTTACTCGGCTCGAGCTCTATGAAGCAACCAGGAACACCACAAGAGTTTGGGATTTATGCAAATAGCACATTTTCTATCCCTGTGAATGATCCTCATCAGGTACTTTAATCTACCTTAAAAGCCTATAAGATGCGTATATAGTTTTGTTAATATATTATGATCTGAGGCAAAATGCTAGCCAAAAAGAAGGCTTTTCAGCTATTAACTGTATTCCTTCATGAAATTGTTAATATGCTGATTTGGACTGAAATTTATACGATATGATGGTTCATTCCACGTGGAAATATTAGTCCATAAAATGCATGCAATTTCACAAGAAAGTATGTAGGACAGGAAGATTCGATGATGCAGCAGCCATTACAATTCTGTGGTGGGTAAGCTTGAAAATCCTTCATATGTCCAAGATGTTAATCATGTTAGGAAAAGAATATGTGCACATTATATGAAGCTGCTGGATGTTTGTTAGCTGAATATTTGAATTTTAGGATCTATGTTTGGTTAATGTTTGAATATGTCGTTTATGGTTTTTGAATTTCTCTACCTTGATGCCTTAAATTCTTTGATTCCCTCATGGCATCCTGGAACCTACTTCATACGTCACTAATCAGAGGTCCTTCATATTTCACTCAGTTTGTTCTCTATCGAGATTCAGATTTTGTCTTATATAGCTTAAAATTTATGGTAATCAACTGCATTATTGTGATTTTTAAGTTGTGAATTCCAGATATACACGAGGTCAAACAATTTGGTCCAAAAGTGCATTGTTTTTGTTGATATAGCATATTTCTGACTTTTCTTCTGATTTTTTCATATATCGGTGCTTTGTAGTCCATGGAGATACATCATTGCATATTTGTTTATTCCACCATTCCATACTGAGGGAGAAAACACATGTTTCTAAAGAAAAGTGGGATGAGATAGTATTTATTTAATTAACATGTATTATATGGTTTAAATATTAGTACATATTATTGTGAATTCTAGGTTAATTTTGTTTTGTATGTCCTTAATTCGACATCCCTGGGGGAATTACTGTTGCTTACTGCTTACCTCTGTCAATGCTATATATATATATATTTATATATATATATATATATGATATATATATAATAGATATATATATATGATATAATATATATATAAGTATATTAAGTTGTTTATTGGGTTTGGATAATATTTAAAACACATCTTTGGATTCGTATGTATTTGTGAATTTGGGATTCGTATGTATTGTGAATTTTATTCATGCAGGTTTGGAACAGAGATGAACATGAGGACTTGCAAATGCTGGTCGTAATATCCCGCCCACCAGTCAAAGCGTTAGTATTCCTCTTATATGTATTCTCGTGTTTGATAATATTAATATATCTTTCACTAATTAATGCAAAACACATATGTTTAAGTATTTTTCTGATCTACTTTTTGTCATATTGTAGTCTCTCGTCTCTACTATGACACACCTCATTAAATCATAATTAATAATGTGATTTGGTTGTCAAACTTCCGTAGTTACATACTATGTAACCAAAGATAACCTTATTTGTGTTAAATTTTGTATGAGATTGATCAAAAACCCTTAATCCCTTGGTACGTTTTTTTTTTTTGGCTATAGAAAATTGGTTGTTTTAGGTGTAAAAAACCGTCTTGGCTTTTTCACTGCATTAGCACTGTAGGGTAGGCAGGAGTTGAAGTTTGGGGGGCACTTTTATTTTCCCTCTTAAAAAAATAAAGCAAGTATATCATTAATTATATTAATAATGTAAAGATTTTTCTGAGATAAATCTAAAATCCCCAACCAAATGTGCATAATGTGTGGATATTCTATAACTAAAATTTCACCTAGTTTGACGTGTATCAAAATTCTTCCTTTTAAAAAAACCAAAATTACTAATTAGACTACACTATTTCAAACTATTCTTACACTACATAGATAGAGAAGTGTCAACGCTTTGACGAATGGTCAATTAAAAGTTTAAAAGGAAGGACCTCGCACATTCTTCTTTGAACGTAGTGGGAAAGTAGTATGAGAAAATAGTCTATTTATCACACACACCCAAAAAGAAAAGAATAAATCTTAGAAATCTTCCTAATTTCTCACAATCATTTCCTCATTTAAAGAAAAATAATCTTCTAATATGAGATACTAAATTGCATTGGCCTTACTTGTTTGAATATCTCCAATAAATGAGAGAAGAGTATGGGATTATGTCCTAAGTCACACACATTAAACACAGTGTTTCCATCATTCATTACTATGTCTGCACCTCTCTCAAAAATTAAAGCTCCATTTTATCACTTCTAACTTGTATATATACTTAAATCACTTCTGTATTGTATCCATTTAAAAACTTAAATATACAACGAAGCTTGAGTAGGGCGGTGTCCTTGCCGAGCTCCCTTTGATAGTCCCCACGCTCCGCAGGTGGTATGAATTAAGTTACGATCAACGAACATATATTTTGCTCTTGTTGTATACAAATATTCTCGACTCATTTTGACACATTGAAAGCCTGATGCTCCTTAATCTTATGTTCATAATGTCATGCCTCTTGTGGTATACAAATTACTGTGCTTTTTACACTGCTTTCTCAAGAACAAATTGCTGCTGAACAGAGATAGCGGAGGCTTTAAAAATTGAAGAATAAATGAGACCCTATATTTTTATCTTTGTCTAAATAACAATTACAACTCAAAAGGGTATTTTTGTTACTTTTGTTATGCAGGTTCATCTATGATGACTGGAATGTGCCTCATACTGCAGCCAAGTTGAAATTTCCATACTATTGGGACGAGGAATGTTACAATGCGCCCAAGGACGAGCTCTGATGCGCATACTTATGTAGATTTTTGTGATTGACATTGGAAAATTGTGTCGAAGTTGATTGCCTTTATGTAGAGCTTGCCTTTTACATCTAAATATGCGATAGTACTCTTTGACACCTTTTCCCCTTAATTTTCTTCGGCAATTTAGCTAGCGTGCCCTGGGTTTTCTATATTGCCAAATGGGATTATCCTGGGATTGATTTGTTGGAGTAAGCAAGCCACGGAAGATCAAAACTTAAATAATCAAGTAACCTCAAATCTACCAAGCAATCAAAACAAACAGCAAACAACAAGATTTAACGTGGTTCCACGTGATTAAGATGATCCGTGTACGTCCACGGGGAGAAGGGAGAAGATCTTATTTCTTTTGAGAAGAGATTACAAAATGTTAAAACTACATACCCCTAACAATAGTGAAATATGGATCTCTCTCTCTCTCTTTTTTTCTTCTTTTTTTTAAACCCATGGATTGATACGATATATATAGAGATTGATTTTGCTCAATCCTATTAGAACTCTAACTTGAATCCTAATTGGATTTTCCAATTCAATTAATTCCTTCAATCCAATTCTAATTAGGATAGTAAATTAATCCTAATTAGAGTCCAAATTCAATCATGCTTCTCAACTGATTTGAGTCATCACGAACTCAACAATCTCCATCTTGACTCACATCACGTTGAATCAATCCTTCGCGAAGATTTTTCAAAATCAACTCCCACTTTATACAACTCTCTCCCAAGAGTATTTCTCCAAAGTTACTTCTAAAGAACGTGGATAAAGTCCACAGATGCTTTGAACTTCTCTACAGGAAAGGCAATTGTCATCATATCCGTCGGATTCTTCTTTGTACTGATCTTCACCAATTCGATCACTTTTTCCCTGTCAATCCACTCTCGGATCTTGTGATACCTGATGTCAATGTGCTTCGTCCACTTGTGATACCTCTGATCCTTCGCAAGATGAATCGCGCTCTGACTGTCACAATGAATAGGTACTGAATCCTGCATGATGTCAAACATTCTGACTAAACCCTGCAACCACAGAGCTTCCTTCGATGCCTCAACTGCAGCTATGTACTCCGTCTCAGTCATTGAAAGAGCCACAGTTTCCTATAACTCAGCCTTCTAACTAATGGCACGGTTAGAAACTGTGAATACACACCCCGTCGTTGACCTCCGCTAATTAAGGTCGACTGCGTAATCTGCATCGACGTAGCTCTGTAGTTTCTTGAACCCCTTATCCTCCAAAGACTAAAACAATAGGCCCACCTTTGCAGTCCCTCGTAGATAAAGTAGAATCCACTTCACCACCTTCCAATGCTGATTTCCTGAATTTGACATGAATCGACTTACTGAACTTACTACATCGGCTAAGTCAGGCCTAGTGCAAACCGTAGCATACATCAGCGATCCCACGACACTCGCATATGGTATCAGAGACATCTTTTCCTGCTCCTTAACTGTTTGTGGACACTACTCTGAGGATAATTTGAAGTGACCGACTAAAGGAGTAGAAACCGATCATGCTTCATCCATGTTGAACATTTTCAACACATTGAGAATATAATTTTCTTGGGACAGCCAAAGTTTGCCAAAAACTCTGTCTTGTGGGATCTCCATACCTATGATCTTCCTGGCTGCTCCTATATCCTTCATGTCAAACTCCATCTTCAGCAACTGCTTGACTTCCTCGATTTGTGCCCTTTCCTTTGCAGATCGATTAAAGCCGGCATTGATCATGAATGAGTCGAAGCACTTGTACCACTACCTCGAAGATTGTTTGAGCCTGTACAGAGACCTCTTAAGAAGACAAACCTTGTCTTCTTCACCTTCACGGAGATATCCCTCAGGCTGCTTCATGTAAATTTGCTCCTCTAATTCTCCATGTAGAAATGTTGTTTTAACGTACAATTGCTCCAACTCCAAATCATACTGTGCAACAATAGCCAACAACAAACGAATGGACGTATGTTTGACTACGGGAGAATAAATCTCATTGTAGTCCACTCCTTCCTTCTGAGCATATCCATTGACGACCAATCTTGCATTGAATTGCTCACAATCTTTCTTCCGAAAGATCCACTTGCAACCAATCGCCTTTGAGCCTCTTGGAAGATTAACCAGAACACACGTCTGATTCTTCTCCAAAGACTTCATCTCATGCTCCATGACTGTAATCCACCTGTCACGATCATCTGCTTCAACGACCTCTCTGTAGCTACATGGGTGTCCAACTTCTGTGAATAAAATAAAAGATACGCGATCATCGTCTTCCCAACCATATCTAGTAGGTGACGCCACTGTATGGCTCGAGCGTCTCAACGCTATTGGCTGCTCCTCCTGTATAGTAGCTCTGTCTCCATCGTCGGTTAGAGTATCATCAGTAGGCACACTAGGGCTTGCAGGGCTTTCCGAAAACTCCACTTCTTGTACCTAAGAATCTGTAGAAGCATCTGAAGATCCACCTTGCGCCTTGTCTTCTGTCTTCGGATCTGCCTGCATGATAACGTCTTCATCAAAGACCACATCTCTACTGGTAAAGGTATTGTGAGTCTCAAGATCCCATAACCGGTACCCTTTGACTTCAAAAGTGAATCCTATGAAGATACGCTGTCTCGACTTGGACTCTAGCTTGTTTCTTTTCTGACTGTCTACAAGGCTATACGCTGGACAACCAAATATGTGTAAAATCGTATAATCCACTGATTCTCCTCATTATATCTCCTCTGGGATCTGAAGATCAACGGCTATAGATGGTGACCTGTTAATCAAATAACACACATGATTTACCGCTTCCGCCCAAAAATCTTCGGACATGTCTGCTTGTAGCAAGAGACCGCGGGCTCTTTCCATCAGTGTCTGATTCATGCGTTCAGCTACTCCATTTTTTTCTGATCGTCCTGGCACACTTAACTGATACCGGATGCCTTCATCAGTCAAGTACTCTTTGAATTACCCGGAGGTATACTCACCTCATTATCTAACTTCAAGACTTTCAATTTCAGCCCCTTCTGATTTTCCACCAATGACTTTCACTCCTTGAACTTTTAAAAAACCTTAGACTTCTGTCTCACGAAATAAACCCAAGGCTTCCTGGAGAAATCATCAATGAATGTAACATAATACCTCGCACCCCCAATGGATGCCTTTGATGAGGGCCCCCACACATCAGTGTGGATAAGATCTAGCAACTCCTTGGACTTATGCTACAAAGTAGAGAAAGATACTCTATGTTGCTTCTCCATGACACAATACTTACAAAAATCAATTTTGTATTGAGTTATTCCTGAAAGCACGCCCTTGCCGTGGAGTAATTGCAATCCTTCTTGAAGTGACCTAGTCGTTTGCACCAAAAACAGACGACAGAACTAGAATTTTCTTCAGCCTTGACCGGCTCCTTACCCTTCGACTTCCCTTTCTTTACATTGGCCACTAGACCTGAAGATTCCTCCTTGATGTCCGTGTTCCTGATGTGTTTATTATTCTGAAGCACCGAGATGACATCCTCCAACTCTAAAATCTCCTTCCCATACATGATAGTAATCGCTAAGTGATTGCAACGGGGTGGAAGCGAACACAATAACAGAAGATCTTGGTTTTCTTCTTCTAGCTTCACCTCAAGAGCCAACAAATCACCAATAATCCTATTGAAGATGTTCAAGTGTTGCAGAATAGATGCACCTTCCTTCATCCGAAGTTCATAAAGCTGCTTCTTCTTGAAGAGTTTATTTGACAAATTCTTCGTCATATACAAGCTTTCCAACTTACACCACATAACCGCAGTCATGCTCTCGTTCATAACGTTATAGAGCATCTCATCTGACAAGCACAGGACAATTGTAGCATTTGCGCGGACATCCGTGTCTTTCCACTCATCTTCTTCCAAAGTGGATGGCTTCTTTGCAAAACCGTTTAAGGATCGGTGGACCCCTTCCTTCACGAGTAAGGTCGTGACGCGCATCTTCCACAAGAGAAAATTCGACTTGTCGTCAAATTTCTCCATCTCGAACTTGGTCATTGTCGTCTTGGTCGCCATAGTAGCTCTGATACCAATTATTGGAGTATGCAAGCTGCGGAAGATAAAACTTAAACAATTAAGAAACCTCAAATCTACCAAGCAATCAAGACAAACAACAAGCAACAAGATTTAACGTGGTTCTACGCGATCAAGATGATCCGTGTATGTCCACGGGGAGAAGGAGGAAGATCTTTTTTTTTAAGAAGAGATTACAAGAGGTTGAAACTACACACCCTTAACAATGGTGGAATATAGATATTTTTTTCTTATTATTTTTAAACCCCCGGATTGATACAATATATATAGAGATTGATTTTGTTCAATCTTATTAGGGCATCTCCAACCCATCGCACCAAAATGGTGTAAATTTTGTAGCAAAATGGTGCAAAAGTCACATCAAACAGTAATTCATCTTCAACCAACTGCACCATTATTTATACCAAAAAAGAATATTCTTAGGATATTCCTTTTTATCTACTTTTATATTATTATTTTTTATTCCCTATATTTTTAACTATTTCAACAATTAACCCCACATATCAAATTTTATTTTTTCACATATTTTTCAAACAAAATAATTTATTACTTAAAAAATTAAACTAATAAAATAATTAAATATTATTTTATTAATTAAAATAACTTGATTGCTAAAATAATCTATATTTATTATTGATATTGCAAAAATATTACATTTAAGAACACAACAGAAAATAAAATAAAGAAAATAATTAAACATTAACAACAATGTAAAAATTACAAATTTAATATGCACTTAACTATCTGAATTAGTGTATTCCTCCTATAGATGATCTATCAATGCATTACGAAATATAATATGGGCATCTTTATCCTTGATTTGTTTATAACGTGCAATAAATTGATTAAATCTTATAGTTTCATCTGCTATAATATCAACTTCTGGTGTTGGTGCTTCCCTCACTTCTTGAATTGGTGCATAAAGTATAATATCAACTTCTGGTGTTGGTGCTTCCCTCACTTCTTGAATTGGTGCATAAAGATCACGTTCATCATCGACTATCATATTGCGCATAATAATGCATGCTGTCATTATGTCATGTAATACATATTTTTTCCAAAAACATGTTGATCCTGCCACAATTGCAAATCAAGATTGGAGAACACCGAACGCACATTCTACATCTTTTCTACATGCTTCCTGTTTCATGGCAAAATATTTTTTTCATCCTACCTTGTGGATGTTGGATTGTTTGTACAATAGTAGCCCATTTTGGATATATACCATTAGCTAAATAATAACTCATATTATACTCTTTTCCTTGAATAACATAGTGAGCGGGAGGATCAATACCTTGAGCTAGATTAGAGAAAAGATTAGATGACTTTAGCACACTGATATTATTATTGGTTTCTGGCATACCAAAATATGCGTGACATATCCAAAGATCATAATCTGCTACAGCTTCAAGGATAATAGTTGGTGACCCATTTACGTCATGCGTATTGCCCAAACCATGCCGTTGGACAATTTTTCCATTTCTAATGCATACAATCAAGACTTCCTAACATTTCTGAAAAACCATGTTTTTTTTTACCAATATAGAGTAGCCTAGCAATATCATTAGCGTTAGGTGTTCATAGATACCGCTCTGCGAATATCTCCATCATAGCACGACAAAATTTTGTCATACTTTCAATTGCTGTTGACTCACCTATTTTAACGTATTCGTCTGTAGCATCAGCTGGTAGACCGTATGCCAACATACGAAAAATAGTTGTTGCTTTCTGTAATGGTGATAGTCACATTCTACCAAGTCCATCACTTCATTGTGGAAGTAGTAGTCATGATCTTTCACTGGATCCACAATACGAAGGAACAAACTTCTTAACATTCGATATCGACGACGAAACATATCTTCTCCGAAACGTGGATTATCGATAAAGTAATCTATGAACAAATTCTGATGCGCAGTTTCTCGATCGTGGTTGATGACTGCATGACCGGGTATCAAGCCACCATGGATCGGTTGGTAGTTTTGTTGACGTAAATTGTTAGCGAGGATCATGTTGTTGTTGATGTACTCACGAATTACTTCTTCGGTTTCATCAATCTCTGTAATAATATTGGACAGAAAGTTATCATCATCCGAAGATGAAGATGATGATAAATATGATGGACCTCCAGCATCGAAATTCATTTTTAAAGTAAGAAAAGAATGACTGAGTATGCAGAAATGAAAAATAATAATTTTAACACTAACGAATAATTGTGTAGAGGTACCTAATCTAGTATGCTATTTATAAAACTTTGCTTAGCTGTATACGTTGAACAATATGTAAAGCTAAGCTAATTTCAGAAAATGCTTTACAGCTGTTATCAATTTGTCACAAAATTCAAATTTGCTTAGCTGTATACGTTAGACAATGTGTAAAGTTGAGCTGATTTCAAAAAATAATTCCCACTCATATAAAGTTTTCACATAATTCAAGGAATGCTTAGCTGTGTACGTTGGATAATGTGTAAAGCTGAGCTAATTTTAGAAAATGATTCCCACTCATATAGATATTTCACACAATTCAATGAATGCTTAGTTGTATACGTTGGACAATGTGTAAAGCTGAGCTGATTTTAGAAAACGATTCTCACTCATATATAGCTTTTACACAATTCAATGAATGCTTAGTTGTGTATACATTGGACAATGTGTAAAGCTGAGCTGATTCAAATTCAATGAATGCTTAGCTATATACGTTGGGCAATGTGTAAAGCTGAGCTGATTCAAATTCAATGAATGCTTAGCTGTATACATTAGACAATGTGTAAAGCTGAGCTGATTTTAGAAAATGATTCCCACTGACAACGTTGGACAATGTGTAAAGCTGATCAGTTTGTACACAACGATTCAATTTCAAATGTTGACCACCGACAAATTTAAATTCAAATTCAAATTCAAACAAAAAAACTTTGGATTGGCTATAAATAACATTCACGAATTCTACTTCAAACCACCCAATTCAAAGTATTTCTTCAAAGTATTTCTAATCTCCAAACCAACCGCTTTTTACAAAAAAAAATATATGTTCGGTCATCTGGATACACAGTTACTGAAGATGTGCTCCTTTGTCAAGTATTCATGGATATTTCTCAAGACCCTATTATCGGTAGAAACCAGTCTCGAGATGCATTTTGGTCTCGTGTGGAGGACAGATACAATAAACTTCGAGATCAGCATTTTGAGGTGCGTACGAGCCGATCAGTTCGTTCTCGAATGGAAATCATAAGTAATGAAGTAAGGAAGTTGAATGTGTGCTTGAGACAAGTAGAGAATTTGAATCCAAGTGGCACTTCAGATGAAGATATTGTAAGTATTCTATTAATTATCTTTCAAAATTTATTATTATTTTTGAAATACATAACTTGATGTTCACTATAATTTGCAGTTAGTTCGAGCAAAGATGTTATTTATGCAAGAACCAAAGTACAAAAAAGGTTTCAAATTTGATCATGTCTGGAATATGGTTAAAAATTTTGAAAAATTTAAAGATGATGTCCCCACAGCAAGACAAGTTGGTCGAAGACAACCCCAAAGTGTGGACTTCAACTCGTTACAATCAGATAATCCCACTCCGGATTCTCCTATATCAACATCTCCTGGACTGTCATCATTTACTCCACCTGAACGACCTATTGGGGTAAAAAATCCCAAATTAAAAAGGAAAAATGATGATCATGAGTCAAGTGTAGTGAACTCCATCGATACAAATAACAACTGACTTATAGATAGGTTAGATAAGGCGAGCTTGGATAGGCAAGTAGCATTTGATATCGAACGAGAAAAGATAGCCATGAAAAAAGATAGAGATGAATGAAAAATTATAATGAAAGATTTGAATTCCATTGCTGATCCAAACGTACGTGAGTACGTTCAAGCTCAACAGATTAAAATAATACAAAAAATCAACAAGAACAAGGGTCTGCTTCTAATTTTGGCAATTATTTCAATGATATTGGACACTCTGGATCCGATCTACCAGATTATTGAGAGTTGCTTGTCCATCTTATGTAATGTTATATGTTTAGTTTGTATTTTATGTTTTATTTTAATAAAGTTTTATATTATGTGTGTTAATTTTTATATGCAATGTATTTCAGATATGTAATTTATATTTGAATTATGTATTAGGATTTCTCTTTATATTTTTAATTTATATTTCATGGGACTTTACTTATAATGTCTAGACTTTAATATTATAATTAATAATAATGACTTTTAAAATTTAACATTATTTCTATTTTTAAAAATAATTTATTTTGTCCAAATTATACAATTAAGGTAAAATTATAAAATTTAAATATTATTGGGATTGTTTTATAAATTTAATAAAACAATTGGGGTCAACTTGTAAATACATAAAATTAAAAGGTTAAATAAAACTGAAAAATAAAAAAATAAAAAAATAGTAATGCGGTGATGAACAGTGCGACGCCAAATATGACGTCGCATTGTTCATCACCGCTAAAATGCTGCAACAATTGCGGCTAGGTTGGAGATCAAACGCAACGGCAAATGCACTTTTTGCTGCATTTTGCCGCTGCGTTGGAGATGGTCTTAGAACTCTAACTTGAATCCTAATTAGATTTCTCAATTCAATTAATTTTTTCAATTCAATCCAATTAGGATAGTATAACTAATCCTAATTAGAGTCTAAACTCAATCCTGCTTCTCAACTGATTTGAATCATCCGAACTCAACATGATTAATAAAAAAAAGTTTATTGTTTTCAGGAGCGCTCCATTGAGGCTTCCGTTGTCTTCGATGAGCTTTGTTTATGAAGATGATTTGGTGATTTGATGAGTCAATGATACGCGACCGAGATGGTCAAACTTTCTTGTCTAATTCTGTTACGAACCCGTTATATTTGTGTAGTAAACTTCTATTGGAAAGTTCAATGGATAAATCAGAGAAAATTGCACATGAGTACTGCTCAGCAATAAAGCAGAGCCAAAGTTAAAGGTCAAACTAAGGCATAGTAGTGCCGATGGAATTATATTCCGGTTCCCTGAAATGCGATATAATTACGCAACTGATCTTGGAGTTTGTGTATCTATACTAAGGGCCCGTTTGTTTTATTTTTTTTAAGAAGAAAGTTAAAGGAAAGCTGTCAAATCTGACAAAAACTGACAGTTTTGACAGGCTTTCTAGAGGCGTTTTTGCAAGAAAGCCTGCCAAAACTGACAGTTTTTGTCAGATTTGTCAGGCTTTCCCCTTCCCATTTTTGCAAACAAACAGCCCCTAATGATCTTGAGATTACTACTTGTAATTACACACGTACCCCTAGAGCATAGATAACAAGCCACCGCCGTGCCTGTGTAATAACAATTAGCAATCTCAGGATCATCCGTGTGACTGTAGACTCACCCGTGTAATTACATCATACTGAAATGTAATTAATCCTGAAATAAGTAGTAAAATCTGCGGTTTTTCTCAAAAAACGAGTAGAGAGAGAATGTACCCTTAAAGTCGAAACATTGCCAAAGCATAAACAGGGTGGATTTGGATCTTTTCATTACAGATCAATAGTATAGAGATCATTTCTCAGAAACTGCCAAACATTTAAAGGATGCTATCACTTGCCCAACATAAATATTTACATCCCGTAGCTTCCTGTTTGAAATGGGGGCTTCTTTATTTTGTTCATATTTGGTTTTTTTCCTAGACAAGTTATACTTTAAAGAAAAATAAGGGTTTCCAAGTATAACTGTAAAATAATTTTATGTCAGAATTCGCGATGCGGTTCATGTAAATGGAGGTGCAACCCAAACAAGTAATACTTTAAAATCTCTTTTTGTTCAGACACGTAGACGTGGTCAAAAAGAGGTCGATGTTGTTAATTAAATGAAAAAAAATCAATTTTGGTAATTAAAATTTAAAAATAGTCTTTTTTTTTAAAAAATTCTCCTTTCTAATAAATTTTAAAAAGAAGTGGTCATTTTTAAAAATCTATCCATCTTTAATTCACATGGCCTCAGTCGGATCTTAGACGGTAGCATGTCTTCTCTAATGTGTATTAAAGGGTTGTGGGGTTCGTCACAAAAATAAATTACAGGCACTGTTGCGTGCAATATTTGTTATTGGAAAGCAACTTCAAAGCTATTGTTCAGCTATTTACAATTTTGTTTTGGAAAATGTAATACCAATACAAGTTCATTGTCTGGTTTAAACAACAATTAATGTAAAACGTACATGAACTTAGTACACAGAGAAATAGAGGTAGAAATGATTTTCCAATTTGGATTTGATAAGTCATATCTATGATGAGCTTGTTTTATTTTTTAAATTTCCTTTTTGGATCTGCAACTTTTCCTCCCACAAAATAGACTACAGATAAAAAGAAACAGCGCTATGTGGGCAAAAAATAATCATATTAGTCTACTAAGCACAATTTGATTAAAAATAATGGACATGAATTTTTTGAGATACATTTGATGCTCTACTTGCACTTTCCTACATCTCTGCTTACACTCTTTACTTTTAATTGATTACACTAAACCTTCTCTAAAATATACTCAAATTAGATTTTTAATCTCAAAAAAAGATTAATTTGCATGCTGTTTTTCACTGCTGAGAAGGTCAAAAAGAAATGTTACCCAAAAACAAATGGAAAAAAGATATATGCTTTCAGCATTACAAGAAAATTTTGTTCATTTCAACTACCATTGAACATAGATTGAAGCAGCTTAAGGGCTTTCAAACATTCCGCAACTCAAAAATGCACGCAAGATATCCCTCCTTTGACTAACAAAATGAAAACTTATCACATAAATTCGCAAGCAATCAGCTTCTCCTCTTCGAAACTCTTCTCTTAAGTTCAGTCTCTGCAGTCTCAACACAAAACTCAGCTCCAAGAATATCTTTTATCGCGATATTTGAAAACATACTAGCCTCAGCGGTCTCCACAATTTTATCAGCAGAAAGATTGAATCCCAAAGCAGAAAGCAAACGAATCGAATTGGCAATCCTGCAAATATGCTGCCTTGTTTCCAATGGTGTAAATTCTTCTTGTTTCTGATGATCTTCCACCATCTCGTTGTCTTTAGGTTCTACGTGTTCACCGACCCAAATGAAACCGTTGCAGCCTAGAATGAGATCGACACCATATTTTTCAAGATGGTGGAAATGTTGTTTGCGTCTTTTAACTAAGTATGATGGGACTGAGAGCAGTTGACCTCTTTCTAACTGCAAAGATAAAAAATTGTGATTATGTGAAGGAAAAGCAGGAAGAAAACATTTGAAACCCTTATATTTTTTGCTACTTTGGCTTGGAAGTGAAATTGCAATTTATGAACCTGCGTTAAAGCGTTTTGCTTTGCATTTGTGTATTTAAGGTAAATTGCACATAGCCCCCTCTCATATATACCATCAGTTGCACTACAACCCCCGCAACTCATTTATTAACAGTTAAAAGCCCCCCGTCCAACCCCCCACCCCCAACCCCCCACCCCACCCCAAAAAAAAAACCACCACCACCACCACCACCACCAAACAAAAAATCAAAACCAAAAAAAATAACAGCAGGAAGAAGGTATTGCTTGTAATTTATCTTTCTAAAAATGTCATTTCAGGGGCGCTAAGTGCTAGTAAATGATTTGATGGGGTTTAGTGCAACTGAAGGTATAGATGAGGGGTTTAAAGTGCAATTTACCGTTTATTTAAATCAATAAGCATGATATTTTAGTTTCTAGTGGATTCTATTTGCCTCTTGGTCTAAGTGAAGGACCTGTACATCTAAATAACTGAAACATACATAAGAAGCTTGAGATGGTAACAAGTTTGTCATCAGATCATACATGTTCCTACCTGCAATTACCGATATCTACAAAATGCCCTGTAATTTTGCAATTTATTATCTTTATTTCTCTCATTTGTCTCTTCTCCGAGGAAGTTATGTTATGTTCGTGGCCTTCAAAATGGTTCAAATGCTCAAATGAGGGGGAAATTAAGTTTCAATTCAGCTTCATGTACATTATTCACCCACAATCAACAAATTTAAGCTTTGAGTAAAGTGATATCTGACGAGTGTCGATCAAGAAACTGAAGTCAAGTTTCAAAAATGTAAATGCAAGCCATTTTAAGGCTGGTGAAAGAAAGATGCATCACATAGATTAATATACCTTTCCATACTTTTGACTTCTTGCTTGTAGCTGCAAACTCCCATCATGCTGAAATCCACGAACTTCAGCCTACGAGACAAATGGAGTTAAAAAGTTGCACTTCTTAGTGGAAGTCCTAATTAACAACTATTCCTAACCAGAGGTAAAAGAAACAGCCTAACATGATGCCTAACTGATGGATACACACATGATTAGAGAAAAATTTTCATACAAGACATGACAAGTTGTGACATTCATATTATTCAAAAGTTACTTGAATAATTATAATAAAATCTCCATAAACATCGTCTAAGGCTCTCCACCGAAATTACAAAATATTAGATGTTGTTATAATTCATAAATACTCACAATATGTAAAAGGTAAAACGATTGCATAGATAAAAGTATTTCTGCATATGAAGTCCCATGAATCAACAACTAAGAAATAAACTTCCATTCTATGGACACAAAGTAACTGTAAATAATGACAAGTACGCTTTCCCCCTCCATAAGTTTTCAAACCGAATGGTGTACCCATCACAATATATTGTAAACTGCTAGGTTGAATGTGAACTGCAAAATAGTGTGAAACCAATTTTTGCACAATCAAAATCATGCCCTGTTTAAGTCTGGTTCCAACATTTATATCTCATGAACATCATTTAGAGACATAGGCTGGAGTCAAAATATAGCCACTATTAAGTTTCGGTGCTCACAAAAATAATTATGGACTCGTCTTAAGAATGCTAGTTTTGACCGCTGTTACCTTGCTAGTATAGAGGTGTAACTGAATTCATACTACCTAATTAAGTAGAGAGAAGAAGCTCAGATATACAAAAAGGCGTTAGAGCTGGCCTGTTACACTACCAAATTGAATTCTATGCATGCAATGTTGGCTCTATTTAGAGCAAAGAGAGTGAAAACTGTAGTTGAAGTGAGTCTGAAACTGGCAGTTAAGTATGGTATCTTGGCCCAGGGCAATACCTACATGAGCTTTCTTTCAGTAAACCGAAGTTAGCTCAGTTATGCTCTGGCACTATGATAATCTAGTTGCTGTGGATTTGAGGAGCAAGCTTTATAGAATAAAAGGGAAGTAACAAAAATAAATGGCAAAAAGCTATCATGTTTGAACAAGTTTCAATTAAATATTTCAAGTCCAGACATGGATATGCTTTATTTGAACTTAGCTTAGAAAAACTCCAATCCCAGAGTCATTTTTCGTAGGACTTGGGTTAAGCCATGCATGCTGGCTTATATTGATCATGAATCACAGATGGTAAGAAAACTAATACAACTCTTATGTTTTGGTTATTATATGGAACTCTTACACTTTGGCTATTATATAGAGAAATTGACATGAATATCCATTGCCTTCTCCCATTTATGCCTTGCCTAGAAAAATTTCATAATCCGGATTCATAAATAGTTTTATACAGATTGGATAAGTGACACCTGATGGTTAGTTACGTTTTATGATATATTCAACGAGGTAAATTTGAAAAGTTTGGGCAATTCAGGAATTTCGTTAAACATGAAATAGTAACACATATCCAACTGGATTCTTTCAGGCTTTATCAAGTGGACCCATGCTGCATATTTGATGATAAATTAATGAGAAAGACTTGGATTGACTTCAAAGAGCACTATAGAGAATGAAACAGGGAATGAACTGCCCTAAAAGTATAATCCGTAAGTTTAAGCAAATAGTTAGCATGTCAGAATTTAAGATATTTCAGATCAATGCAAGCAATTGGCAACGCACATTAAAATCTTTTTTCTGGCACTACATTTATGCACAAGGCAATCTGGGTTTATAAGAACCACCAATTAAATATGACATGTAGATAAGATGCGTAGCTGAATTCACTGGTACAGATGTTAAAAGTATATGAGTACTGAGCATACGCACTGCCCAACAGAAGTACAGGGCAAGAAGGGCCAAACTCGCATTGTTAAAGGAACTGATTTACAGACGAGTAAAAAAACAGATTATAAATTATTAAATTAACTTAAAATGAAAGAGCTATTCAACAGATTATTATTGCCACAATCAGCACTTTCAGTACTTTCTCTATCAAGTCTTTAACCTACATCTCAGCATCAAATTACTTCACAACATGGTAAACAATCCAAGTCAGCATGTCTTATTTCTTGACGTAAATGAAAAAAGTTTTGTGTAGCAAAAAAAGCTTTATGCAATACTAAAAGAAACAAAGGTATATAATGCATGGAAGAAGAATACTTACACAAACAACATCATTTTCTTCAAAGATGCTACGCATGTTGAGTTCATCAACAGCAGTTCTGCGTCTCTAGCAATACAAAAAGTAAACTTACAAAGAAGGTAGAATAGACCAGAGAAATTTATAGAAGTGAAATTGTTAAATAACAACCAACAACACGCAAGAATGCATAGGTCAGGAACATGCTAATAATTCTTATTGAAGTCAAATTGTCGCAATTGTTAGCATGTTACTATGTGTCACAATCACATAACAATGGAGCTTATACAAAGCGAAGGTGCAACTCAATCTGAGTAGAGTCAAGTTGAGTGGTTGTGACACATTGGACTGAGTTTGGGTTAAGGCAAATAATCTCATGTCATAGGAAGTGGAATTAGGTTCATGGAAAATAAATTTTGGCTGACGAACATAGAAATAGGTCTGAGTCGTGGATCACAAGAAGGTAAAATAGATTTTGGGTTAAGGCAAATAATCTCATGTCATAGGAAGTGGAATTAGCTTGATATACGACTTCAGGGATGTGCCACAAATGTGCAAGTAACAAAATGATTCATTTAATGAAACAAGTGGGTACCTGAATACCATCTGGCAAGTTCATAGATGAAAGCATCAATACTGCATCCTGACTGAAATTTATTTCCAATCTCCAGCGTTTTGGAGCAATCTATTAACAGAAGTGATACAAGCCACGTTGGTGATATCATAGAAAATGAGAAATAGAAATAAAATACAAGCAATGAAATAGCTTATTATCCTAACATTATTAACTAAAACCTGTTTTGTTTGACCCCTGTATTCAATTAACTATCTAACAATCAGATTTCTTACTTTTTATACGTTAACACCTATGGTGCTAGATAGTATAATAATTATATGAATATAATAGAATGAGACGCAAACCTCAAGGACACGGCCAACAATAATATCTCCAACCTCTGGTATGTACCTGCAAGCAAAAGAATTTCACATCAAAATAAGACCATCACCTCATTTACCAATTTTCAACAGCAAATGCAAAGCAATCATCCAGTATGACTACTATAAAGGACCGTAAAAAACATGCTGCAACTTCATGTAATCTGAAGAGGATGGGCATAGTATGAGAACCTAGCTCTAAGCGTACGAACATAAACAAGTTTGTTCACTCGCTCAACCACACCACAAACTGTAGCCACCACTTCTTCATTGAACTCTGACGTCCCATGGCCCCTGCCAATATAAAATCATCTTTAATTATAACTCGATGGTGAGAAGAAAATTATACATCTTAAAATCATAATAAACGAGCAAGTAATATTTTGGCAGACCACTAGGCAATAAACAAACCAACAGCAAAGCAGCTCAAAGCAACAAAAAACTTCAAAAACTAAATAGACAAATTTATTACAAAAAAAAATGAAATTTTAAATGCAATAAGAACCAGATTATTATTACAAATGCTTGATATAAAATTTCCAGTTTTCTAATACCAAATTGCTCGATTCAAAAACTAGGAAACGTCTGAATAGAGGTCAAACTTAACAAGAAAAACATCATAATGTCTGAATACCCAGTTGAAAGGAGGAAACTAACTAGTAAATTTCAAGTAAAAAAACAAATAAATAAGACAAAACCAGATTGTGAAACTCATCTGCAACCCAAAATCCAATTTTTCAGCCAAATATGAAATGGGCAATAATCAAATTGATTAAAAAGTAGAAAACAAGAATAAACTGTCTAGTTTAGACGAAAACGAACCAAGTTACACATATATTAGGCCACAATAAGGGGGAAATCGAAATGGGTCATTGACAAATCAAATAAAAACAAGAAATTTTGAAAGAAAAAGAAAAGGAAAAAAATCGATTATACTTGAGGATGCCATCTTCGTGGTTGACGGGGATCGTGTCGGCGACGGTGACAGAGGCTGTGGATTTCGAAGCGAGATCCTGAAGTTTCTCGAGAGCAGCTCGCAGTCTCGATCTCTGTGTTTGGCTTAGTGATAGCTGCAGCGGGATTTCTTTCATTTTTGACCTCTATCTCTTTCTAGGGTTTTGGGGTGAAGAAGGGGAAGGGCGAACCTAAACCCTAGCAAATCATCTGCTTGTTTTGGGTTAATTTCACCTAACTCCCCCAAGTTATGGGGTTTTGACTTAACATCCTGATATTTGTTTATCTTATATAACCCCCCAACCCACCCAACTTTGGGGTGTCTCACAAAACCCCGCTTAAAGTTTGAGCTTTCTTGCTAAGTCCTTTACATGTAATTTACAAATACATAAACAAATCAAAAATTTTAAAGAGGATATATTTTGCCTATAAATGACAAATGAAAAATTTTAAGATTTATTTTTGTAAATTACAGGTAGGGATTAGGTAGAAAATGTTAAAATTCAGGGTAGTGAGACCCCTAAACTTTCGGGGGGAAGGGGGTCATATGAGATAAATAAAGTTTTGTAGGGTTATGCATAGCATTCCCCAAAGTACAGGGGATTTTGTGAAATTAACATCTCAAGCGGGCACAGCCGAGTTGAACCACTTCATCCGGACTCTGGGCAGTAAATCATTGGACCCAAGACCCAAGTCCGCCAAGTATGTGGACCTCGTACAAAAAGTTTTCAAATTAGCCCAGGAGCTACTTTTTTTTATAGTAGTATCAAGGATGGAGATACTAGGTATCCAAATCAAAAATATGAATTACCAAATAATTGCATTGTTGGATATGATAGGTTACCAAACAATTACTTACAATTAAAATCTCACACAATCTCAACGTGTTTTAATCATGCATCTTATGGCATCAAAATTAACCTTGTCGAATTTTGGCTTAATTGCACCGCGGTAGCCCAAAGTTTCATCCATTTTGAGTTCTGATACCCCAAAGTTTCACCCAATTTGAATCTAAACGCAGAGTAACTTTCATGTAGAAGTGAAATTTGAACACTAGAGAAGTTCCACAGAAACTCATTTGTTGGAGACTCCTTTTCTACCAGTAGTTGTAAAGAAAGAAAAAAGAAACCAATAAAATCATTTTCCACTATGATTAACATTTAAATGGTTTTAATAGTAGAACACAAGCCAGTAGGTCAATTACTGAAACAAAATTTATTTGAAATGTAATCATACAAGCAGTAGTTTTTGAAATTTGTCAATGATTCAGAATATCAACAGAGAACCATTTTTTGGCCATGTTCCATGCCTTGGTAGTTGGGTGTAACAAAATCTCTGCCGCCATTATTTCTTCTTCAGCGAAACATGGAGCATAAATCATTTCACAATAATCTGCGAGAAGTGAAAACATACAAAAAGCAACGGCATGCTTGCTTTAAATACTGATCAAATGCAGTCAACAGATAAAGCAAAGTAACTTCACCTAGAATAGATAATTTTCTTCATGTCAAATAAACACTGTCCAAAACCGCGAATCCAGCTGCGACTCCACCTTCATTTGATGAAGAAACCTTAGTCCTCATCAGATAACCAGATTGCTCATTCATTACTACCTCATCTTTGTTCCTACAAAAAAAATTCACACTCATGCCTTCAGTGTCAGAGTAGATACTAACAAGTAATTTCTTTAAAAGGGGTACACATTTCACAAAACCCCCTTGAACTTTGGAGGGGTTTGGAACAAATCCCTTGAACTCTATAAATCATGGAAACACAACTCTTAAAACTTTCAAAACTATACGTATACCCTCCCAAACTATAAGAAATTCAATACGCCACATTAATGGGTAGAGTAAAAAGTCTAAACACCTTTTTGATACCTCCTCTTACCCAAAAAGGGAAATATAGAAATTATTCAGATAGGAGTAAAATTGTCCAACAGTTAGTCACATGCTAGTACTTTAAGTGAGACAAGTTCAGGGTGGTTTGTATAAGGTTCAAGATGGTTTTGTGCAAAAGACTCTAGGTTTAGGCGGTTTTGTGAAATTACCCAAAATAAATTAGTTAAGGTGTCACAGACCTTAAATAGGTTCCGTATATTCCAAGCTCAGAGATGACTTGATCATGGTGATATATACCATCTCGTACTAGATAAGCAAGTGAGCTTGCAGGAAATATTCTCTGCATCAAAATGTATGCTGCCAATTCCTCACTTCCTTCTTGTTGCAGCTTAACTAATGTTTTCCTTACATCTTCACCATAAATATTATTCCCTGAACATGAATAAAGTCACTAATAAAGAGAGCTTGCATAAAGAAAATAAGGAAAACTTCAAAGGGGTTTGTTTAAAAAATCTAACCTCCTCCTTCTCGTTGAGGTTTGAGAACAAAAAGTTCAGGTCTTTCGATAGCTCTATTCACACCTTCTGCGTTGTCTAAACTCCACAAACCAGCAAAGCACTTCCTCAGCTTTGCAATGTCATCCTCATTCTCAAGAAACCTTAAATTCGAGTATAGAATTTCGATAAGAATAACTGCAGGAACAGCATTTATAAAGAAATAGCACAGTGAAGTTGGTTGGATTTTGTATTGGCTCGTCAGTATCTCTACCTATATAAAAATGCATTTACGAAGATGTTTACTGGATAGTAGTTATTAATTGTACAGATTGTAACCACTAGTTAGCATCTACAAGTGACATACAATTAACAGCAGAATGAATTAGTTCCAACATAATTTGTTGGAACTTAATTTGTGCTTGCATAAAGTTTATATGGTTATATTATTGAAAAATTAAAATCACTAGATATCACATATTCTTCATCTCTTTTTCTCAGAAGTTGAAGAACTGCATAAAGCCCTTTTCATTATATCTGCAATTATAAGATGAAATATTAACACAAAACCCTACTTCAGGAACAACATAAATGAAATATTATCACCTTTCCAGTACATTGGGCTTTGCTAATTCTTGTTGAATCTTCTTGGTGCCTACCAAATGATAGGATATAGATGGGCACTTGACTGCATTGGATTTTTCTATCAAAAATCTGGCACTCCACTCCTGTTGATTGAATTAAAGGATGATAATATATTCGAAGCTAAAGGAGATGGATATAAAGATGCCTGTGAAAAAAGAAGATAGAATACTACATACTGATTCTGAAGGATAATCTCTAGGTGAATAGCCAGCTCTGAAATAGACTACTGCAACTGCTTGGCCACCTCTGCATATATAAATTTCTTAAGTCATAGTTTCTTAATGTGCAAGATAAGGTTTTTCTCTCTCAAAGTATTATAAATTCAAATAAATAACTCTAAAATATTTCTTACATGATCAATGAACCGTCGGGTAGGGCCTCCCCTTCTGCGTCTATCTCAGCCAAAGTTCTGCGAATGCTTGTTATGGCGTATGTGGAATTATGTTAAGAAAAATCTGGAATGGCACATTAAAATCAATAAACTTCGGAAGATGAAGTGGTTTCTGTTGAGACTATGGTCACACAACAGACTCAATTTGATCAAGAACAAACATTCATAAGTGTCAAATGGAACCCGATTCAGAGGTTTATAGCTCAAGATATGAGTTTTTTAGTGAGACAATGTTGAAACAGTCAGCAACAAAACCAGCCTGCTGGTCACAGATTACAGGCAGCCGAAATCAAACTGACAGAGAAAATCATTACAGAGGCGGCTGAAGAAAAATCCAGGCCGCTGAACTTGAACCAGGCGGCTGGAGAGGAGAGGCAGGCGGCAGAATTTGCTTTGACAGAAACCAATTTTCAGAAAATACATTACAGTGTGAGCTGGAAATCTGAGCAAGCGGCTGAACTAATATCAGATGGCTGGTCCGTGCAAACCAGTCTGCTAGTCGACGGGTTTTGATTGGTTCGATCTATTTTTTTTAAGCAATCTCAGTCATTATTCAAGGAACCTATAAAAGCTACCATATGGCTGATTTCCTACAGATGATCATGAGAGAATTGCAGAGATTAGGAGAACATTTGAGAGAGAGAAAAAGAGAGATCATCTCTTAGGGTTTGAGATGCTCTTGCTCGCCGCCATTGCCTCTCGGATTTCATGCACATCCTCGAAGCTGTCTACAGATCAGATTCTTCGTGGAGTGCAACTAGCCCTAGATTCATCACTAACATCATTCTTTAGGATCCACAATTCAACCGTTCGAAGAACAAGTTTCAATTCAAAGGGGTTGTAAGATCTGTTTAATTTGTGCTTAAACGATATTTTTCTTGTAAACAATTTTGTTTTACGATTGTGTGATTGGAGTTTCTACAGCACACTCAAGACAGGGTTAATTGATTTAGGGTTACTAGTTGGAAGCTAGGGTAGTGTCAAGTGTGTGACATTGTTTGGTGGAGACGACTAGATTAGGGTTAGTCTAGAGTGCAGTCCTGTGTCATCTACTACAGGCTTGTAATCCAGGAAATTTCTCATATAGCGTGGAAGCCCCTCCTGACAAGGAGGAAGAGTGGACGCAGGATTTATCCGAACCAGAATAAAAATCTCATATGTTTATGGTTATGTTTGTTTGCACTTTATTTATTTTCCACGACGTAATTCTATGTTTGTTATTATTTCTCGAAAAGAGTGTGCAACCCTATTCAAACCAACCCCCCCCCCCCCAACCAAAAGAAACACCCCTCTAGGCTTGCATCTAGATCCTAACAGTTTCCCAAGGAAAATAATTTTTTAAAATTCCACCCGTAAAAACTAATTTTTGAAATATTTCAAATAACAAGGACAAGTTAGAATTAGAAATTAAAAATATGTTTACATTGAGCAATGATGATATGAATGTGCGCACATACATATGTGCAAATGGCATTAAGTCATGCATGAATAGATGTACATCTATTCAAGAAAAACAAGTATCAAAAGATGGAGCAAATTTTTTTTCTTGTACTCATTATAAAGAAACTTCTGGTGCCATATCACCTGGTATTGGGCCTAAAATCATATACTACAAGGAAAAAAATTTGTGTTTAACAGTGGGATTCTTGCCAAAGTTCCTGTTTAAAGAAAAATCTTTTTGGAAATACAAGACAAATTAAGCATGGAGATTTCTGGCAATGATGACCCTAAAGTAAGAATAAACTTTCAATGTATAGGATATATTTCCTTCAATTTAGAAGAAAGCCAATGCTGGTCATACATATTGCGCTCTTCAGGTTGAACAACAAACAAAACTACAGCACTGAAAAAACCACACAAAAAGAAAGTCAGCAAGAGGCTATTTTTCCCATAAAAATAAAACACAAAACAAAAGAACCCTACAACCTGCTGTTACAAACCTGCTGTTACAATACTCTTTCCATGCTTTAGCTAATGCTTCAGCAGATTGACTGAGAGCTTTATTTCCAGGAACTTTTCTTGAATCTAGACCCAAATGATTCCCGTAGCGATCGAGTAAGTTCCTGCATTGTATTTTACAGGTGCATAGGTCTCATAAATCTCTGTATGAAAAGGAGACATAAAATCTTTACAGCCTAGGAACAGCGGATCATCTAAAGGCATTTTATATTTTTCCTCTCAAAGTAAAATTTATATTGCCCTCTTCATAAGATGCTTGTTTTACCCCAGTATTGCATCAAAGACTAAATAAAAAAAGTGTAGCATAATACAATTAAAACAATATTAAATAAAGAGGAAACCTGTGAAGCTCGCTCACGAGACAACTAAGGCCAGAGAATGAAGATGAGATGGTGTTGAGCTCTATTTGCAAAAGTAGGTTTGTTTCTGCATCCAGCATATAATCTGACCGGTGCAAACCTAAACGGATATCCTGATAAGGTATTGAAATGAAATCAATAAAGTCTCAGCAGAAAAAAATGTTATTTTTCCAAGATAAAGAACATTTGATTGGCCAATTGCAAACTACAATTATGACAACAAAGGTGAATAGCAAATTTAAAACCATATTCAAATGGTCACCTCCTTTTTATTGATTTGCAGCATCTCTGAATGAATATCTAAGAGTCTTCCAGTAAAAGCATCAACCTTCTTTGTTCTGCAATATAAGAAAACAAAAGGTTAAGTAGAGAATTTCCCATGGCACTTGGCTGTAATCAGAGTTTGATGCCTAAAGGGTAACTGAGAATCCCTGATCTATTAAGTACAGAGCTGAGTTACATAAAAATACAATGGGAAAGTATATAAAGATAAATCTTAATTTTGGCTCAAAAAGATTTTGTGCACTCATCCACGGTCCATAAAATAACAACCTAACAAAGCTTTTTTTACAGTCTAACATATAATTGTTGGTTTGAGTATGGTTGCATTACCTATTGAACTATGGTAATGTTTGCTGAAACAGTGAATAGAACTCTAAACTAGGGGAGGGTAGCGTTAAGAAATTTGAAAAATGGCTATGAAGTCTATGAGCAATTCACTGTATTTTAAGAACATAGGCTGGAGCTACAACACCAGACATATCAATATGTTTACAAATAACATACAATTAACTCAAACAATAAGAAAATACGCATGAATCTTTTTCTTTTACATAAAGATAACTTTGTCTTATTATATCAATAAACATATAAAAAGGAACAGAAGCTATTGCAAGCAAAACACAACACAGGAAAATACATGACAGCAACAAATATGGATGCTGTAAACATAAACCATGGAAGCAGACAGAAGATGATGGAGATGATGTGAGGCATAGTATCTACAAAAACTGTACACGTACTTATGCAACATAAAACAGAAACCAGTTTTTAAAAGTAGTAGGAGCATGATCGAGATGGATACAAATATTACAACATTCATAGTTGTTTTTCTTCTAGATACCATAAATCTGAATGCATATTATGGAGATGTGAAACTAAGTGTCAGATTTGATTAAAAAATGAATCGCTAACTCATATCAAATACGGGCAAAAAAATATTCGCGAGATTTTAACAAATAGGACCAAAATATGCATATTATCAGAATGTACATATACAAAACAGAATATAAGGCATTGGACCCTAAGCTACTAATAACTATAAATATGGAAAGATACATATTCTCGGAATATCTGGTTTGGACAATACCCTACATATGTTGGAGCAAATTAGGTTTTCTTAATGCTACTGAACCATGCTTTTAGAATGGTTAAATCCTTTGATTATTGAAATAGATCGGTGAAAATAAACAACTACTAACGGTTGAAAAGGAAATTGTTTAAACTCATACAACTGACGAAAATCCAAGGAACTTTAAGTCATGAAGCTAAACTTTGTTGAATACTTAATCACAGTCAAATATAACAATAAGATAATTGCACTTTTGTGGTATTGGGGTCAAATGTACCATTATAGTAGTTATACAGCAAGAATTAATATACAAATGAAGAATCAGATTTACGGGGAAAAAGAACGCCTAAAAATACCTAATGTCTCGTTTGAACCCATTCAAAGAAATCAAATATAACTTTAAAAATAAAAATAAAATAGTTGTCAAACTAGTAGGATGGTGAAACATGCTAAAACTAAAATTAGAATACCATTGTCAGTCAAAACCATAAGAGCTGGTTTAAGCAGTATTCTGCAAATCTCAGTTATTCACGGATTTTAGCTGCAAAGACTATGCATATGGTTTTTTTTACAATAGTCAGTATGCATAGAAATAAAACCCACAACTATATAATTAGCGAGACATTAGTGGGTATTATATAAGTTTCAAATACATGCTCAGGCCCAGCATTATCTTAATAAGAATTATGACCATGTACAACAAATCATCCATGTTCTTCAATTGCCTGATTTAAGAGGATGACTAAGATTGATGTAGAAGGGCAACCTGGATAACGAGTCTTGCAAAAATTTTCCATCCAAGCTAACACGATCCACAAGCTCATTGAAAATGGGAGCTAGCTCACACGCCTGCCTCCAATAGTCTTCAGGAAAAGGCATGGGCAAGAGCGCAATTGGAGCATGGACCATTCCGACCCCAGGGACTGTTCCAGATCTCTGCAAGTTTTAATTCAGCATTAACTTGTATAGTGCAAGTAAGAATTGTGAATAAAAAGATACATTTGATGTCAAGAGAAACTTTAAAATCTAGGAGGTCAACAGAAATAGATAAAATAAATGTATTCAAAATATGGTTCATTTCTTTGCATATACCTACCACACATCCATCACACCATTCTCATTTCTGCTACGTTCATTTTTCAAACATGCTGTTCTTCATTGCACGACATTTTGATCCATAAAAGCAACGTTGGTCCTAAAGTTATCCCATAGAAATTTTCTATTCAAAAGGTATTTTGGATTGCATAAGACTACATACAAAATCTTTCTTTTCATTTGTCATGATTTATGAACTACATCATCCATAAGTTTACCCTCTTGACTCTCGACAAATGATTGATCCTAAATATCAAAAAATATATATATTACTCCTAGGTACTTCTTATTCATCAGTATGTACGATACACTCATTATGTTTTCACAATTTAACTAGATTTACATTTCATTTTTTTGGTCTGCTAATCCTTTATATTAGATTCGAGAGTGTTCTTTCAGATTTCTACTTTTAGGAAATTAGGCATTCAATAATCTAATCTAATACTATATAAATAACACACTTTTTGAGACTTCGCCTTGCATATGTCTAGTAAATTCGTCCATAATTGCTTCTTGCCTAAAATTTAAAGTCATGTAGAATCTTACTTAATTCTAAAATTGTGGAAATAAAACCCACATAAACTATAGAATTTGACTTAACTTCATTTCGCATCAACAGACACAGCACAAATCAGCAAACTGCAGCGACAACTACACTGCGCACTACAATTTGCAAATTTTTAACTACCACTTAAACTAAACTACAGCAAAGAAAAGCTTCATTGTTACCAATGATCTATAGCTGCAGGTTATTAAAGCACAAAGTTGATATCTTTTCCAGACCAAAAGCTTAAAAATCAAATTTTTTGTACTGGGTTTTCAACCAAAGTAAGAGAAATGACCTGAATAATCCTATCCCCAACCACAAGCCCATGGAGAGAGCTCCACACCAGAGCCTCACCAACCAGCTCGTCCACCAAGCCCGAAGCCAAAGCAGCATGGTGGGTCCCATCGACGGTCATCTCCGCTGAAATCTCCTTCTGGGTTTCTGTGATTTCTCCAGAATTATTGCAATTGAGCGAGAGAGATTGAGAAGACGTTCTTTTTTTGAGGATTTTTCTTTTCTCTTTTTTCTTTTTTCTTTTTTTTAAGTGAATAGCAGCTGTTCTTGAATAGAGAACGCAGTGCGCGCCGCGAAGAGAATCTCCGTTTTTTTTTAATGTTAGTCAGGTCTTTAATATTTTCAATTAGTTTTTCAAATCATCAAATTGCCATCAAGTCTCTCCAATTCTCCATTCTTCAATTCTTAAGCGAGCGTTTGGCAACCATGACGTTTTTATCGTTTTTGTTTTTTCAACAAAAATAAAGAAATGTGTTTGGCAATCAAGGTCTTTTTTTGACTTGTCCCTTTACAAAATCTAAAAATTAAACACTTTTCCCAAAACACCAAAAAGGTGTTTTAAGATTCCGTTTTTTCATCTAAGTCACCGCAAGCCCGGCTCGTCCGTCGCTGCCAGCTCCCGTCGCCGCTAACCGGCCACAGCCACCACCCGCCGCCACCCGCGACCACGCCCGCCCGTCGTCCCGGCCGCCGTCGCTGCCGCCCATTGGTCGGCGTCGCCACCCGCCGTCGCCACCAGCCGGGCCACCCTCACCCGTCGCCGCGCCACCGCCGTCGCCGTTGGTCGCCACCGCCTGCCCGCGCCCGTCGGCCGACCACTTAGCCACCCGCCGCCGCCGCCCGCCGCCCACCGCACCACTCGAAGCTACCCGTCGGTAGCCGACAGTCGTCATTCACCCACCGCCCGTCGGCCATCCGACCGTCGCCGCCGCCGCCCGCCCACTGCCGTTATATAAATGGTCAAACTAGTTTGACCAAAATGGTATTTCAAAACATATTTGAAAAAGAAACACCATGGCATGGTGTTTTTTTACAAAAACATAACAAAAAACACATTTATTACCAAGCACACCCTAAGTTATTTCAAAATTAGTTGGCTGAATTGCACTTAAGTGCTTTATAGTTTTACCATTGTTGCGCTTTAATACTTCAAATTATAAAATCTTGCACTTAAATACCCTAAAATTCATAAATATTGCACTTAAATGCCCTAAAGTTTTAGGGGGTGTTTGGTTAGGGTGTTTTATAGAAAAGTTCTGACAATGGCAGTTTCGTAAATAAAACTTTTCTCACAATTTCCATAAACTGTGTTTGGTTCAATATTGAATTTACAGAAAAATTTTCTATAAAGTAAAGAAAACAGTACAATTTTACAGAAATTATTTTTCACTCAAAATGAGCTGAAAACACCCAGAAATCTGACACCCTATTATTAAAATATTAAACAACCTCCCTCACCACATTTTCGCCCTCATTTCAATTTTCTCATGGTCGCTATAACTCAGAAAATTTCTGAGCCTTCCTCCTTCGTTCCCGCCCCAAACTCATTCTCCCGCTCGAGTTTTCCTTACCTCGAGCTCTCGTCCTCGATTATTCCTGCCAATCGCTAGTGAGCTCAAAGATCTAGGGCTTCGGTCTAGTTCGTCACCGTTCTTTCGGCTTATTTGGGTCGATTTTTAGCCGCTAGATGTCACGTCCCATTCCCAAAATACCCGGGAATCAGAACGTGAACAAGCCCGCGACGTATTAGATTAAGGAGATTAAACAAAAATAAATATTTCTCCTCAACCTAATACGCTAAGCGTCTAGAAATAATACAATGCGAAGTCATAGGTCTGTAGGCATAAACAATTGCCTATAGGTTTCGCACATAGCTCTAGATGAAGAAAAGACGATGAATGTTATTATTCGAGTCAATGAGAATTATCAAAGTCAAAGGAGATTATCTGATACTGTAAAGAAGTTAAAAAGCATATGAAGTAAGTCGGCGAAGCGTACGAGTCTGTGAAACACGCTAAACGATAAAGGAACAACTCAACCGGGAGTCGAGTCTGTGAAACACGCTAAACGATAAAGGAACAACTCAACCGGGAGTTGTGCTTCGCCCACAAAAGGGCGAAGTACCATGTCTAAACGATAAAGGAACAACTCAACCGGGAGTTGTGCTTCGCCCACAAAAGGGCGAAGTACCATGTATGTCTCGCCCACTTCATAAGTGTCTCCCCTATTAGAGGTTGTAGATCTCTTCGTGAGCTTTCCAACGCATCTTAGATCACCTCATTCCGAGATCGGACAAGGGAGTTAGAAGCAAAACAACAATGCAGACATCACATAAGTTTCCGAGATACATGCAACTGTCTCAGAAACTATAATACGTCTCACATATTTTAGCCATGATGCGATTCAAATCTGAAGAATATCAAAACACAAAAATTGTAGATCACTTCGTCATCTTTCCAGCGCATCTTGTATCACCTCATTCCGAGATCGGACGAGGGAATTAGAGCCAAAATACCTGAGACAGCACAAACTGGAAGTGTAAGACAGTTGCAACTGTCTCGGAATGTGAGATGGTTACAAGTATCTCGGAAATATAAACCTATGGGAGGTTATAGAGCTCTTCGCAAGCTTTCCAATGTATCTTGGATCACCTTATTCCGAGATCGAATGAGAGAGTTAGAGCCAAAATACCCGAGACAGCACAAACTGTCTCGAAAGTGCAAGACAGTTGCAACTGTCTCAGTATGCGAGACAGTTACAACTGTCTCGAAAATGCAAGCCTATGGGAGGTTTTAGAGCTCTTCGGGATATTTCTAATGCATCTTAGATCACCTCATTCCGAGATCGTACGTGGGAATTAGAGACAAAATACAACACAGTTTCCGAGACACATGCAACTGTCTCGGAAACTATAAGACAAGAACTGAGATTTCGACCATGATTCACACAGAATATGAAAAATCTTAAAATATAAAAGTTGTAGATATCTTCACCAGTTTTCCAACGTATCTTAGATCACCTTATTCTGAGATCGGACAAGAAAGTTAGAGCTAAAATACCCGAGATAGTACAAACTATCTCGGAAGTGCGAGACAGTTGCAACTGTCTCGGAATGCGAGACAGTTACAACTGTCTCGGAAATGCGAGACTGTCTCACACATTGAGAAGCTAAAGATGTGTTTTTTAACAGTTTTCTTGAGTTTCGTACGATCCACACGACTTATTAACTGCTAGGGATCACCTATGAACGTGGGGGGGGGGCAGTTGCAAGTGAGAATCACGCCCATAACCGCAAGAGTCATGTCATTTAAAGGCGGGAGAAGCGGATACAAAAAAAAGGAGGAGGGTGGCTGAGCATTTTTGGAGCAGATCCAAGGATAGAGAGCAGAGAGACTTTGGGAGAATTTTAAGAGTTCATCTCCTTCCAACAATTAGGAAGTTCCTTAAGATCTAAGCTTTGACTTGATCTTAAGAAGAGTGTTCGTCTTACTTCGATAAGACATTCACTAAAACTATTCTTACTTCTAAACGAAGGAAGAATCCCAAAGCCTTCACGATTTAATCAGAATTCGTGATTCGGTGGTCCATGAGCTAACGCACCCCCGGCACAGGCAAAGATCTCGCGCAAGCAGCGGTCCAATTAACGATTATGCGTTTGTTTCTAAGGAGCTTGTAATTTGATTTTTGTTGTAAAGAGTAGTTTTACAAAGTACGAAGCTCACTCTTTTGTATTCATTATAATCGATAAACAGTTATAACGAATTCTATAACATAACTTGTTCCTGACGCAAACAAGGTCCCCAATCACAGATGGCAAGAATATAATGAACAACCCAGAATAAAATAATACATATCACAAATGAATAATTATCCAGACATAATATTCAGGCCAAATATGCCCTCATACAAAACAATCTGAAAGCTAGAAAATATAAAACACAACGATCAGGCGGAAATGGAAAGTGCTATAAAAGTAAACTAATGATCAACAGCTGATAAAAGAAATGATTATGCTTCGACTTCTTCAGCTCGGTCTACAAATCACTCCTGCGGAGGATCTTCTGGCTACTGTACGACTCTGAACTGAAGCTGTCCGTCTTCTAGATCAGACGTACAACCCGAGAGAATAAGAGTACGTCAGCATGCATGGCACACGGCAAGATCCCACAAGGAAGAATAGAAACGGTCGAACGACCAATGCAAGAACAAGTAATAACAATGGAAACATGCAACTAAAATACTAATAATCTAAATATAATTTACTACTAGAGTAGAATAATCAGAATAATCAAAATCAATCCGGTAACGAGGTCATGTACCTAGCGATCAGAATAATCATCCAAGTACAGGGTCATACACTAGATGGAATTAATACTTAAAAATCTACAACTCGAGACGTAGTACGTCGAACGAAATAATCCAAATAAGGAAACCCTCATCTATATACCATATGTCTCAAATTGTAGATAATTAAATATTAATCCCGATCTATGTGTGAAAAGAAATATAACTGGTCTGTATCGCACAGCAACTCATAATCATCCGATTAACGATGTCATGTAACTAGCCATTCTATAACAGGTCACTGGTACATATCTCACATAGATTCAACGTTCCTGTCATCGGATAACTGACTGTTCACAAATCCTCTACGTGCATCCAATCCCGCTACACATACGGCCTAAAGGACTACACGCAATCCGTTTTCTGCCTGGTCCGAACTTCAAACAGAACTCGTGTGATGAAATAAATTCCCACTGACCAAAGTGATGTACACACTTCACTTTAGCCCTACAAAACCCCAATGGCGACACCGACCATTGGTGCGAGCCTAGAAGATACATCAACAGCTTTATCCGATCACATGAACCATGACTTTCCTATCCCAACTCTTCTTATTTTGCTAGGTCAACACAACACATGTCTCTAGGTCACGCAAGGCTACTACGGTCATGACCACTAATAGTTCTCAATCACAACAAGGAACAATCAATGTAACTAATCATGTACAATAATATCATATCATATCAGATAATCAAGTCTAAGAATTTGAATCATAAAATTGTTCTAAAATAATCTTCTGAAATAATAAATTTATTTACTTCAAAGTAATTCCTTTTTCCAAAATAAATTCTTTATTTGTTGTTATAATTATCCAAAAATATTTTCATTTTTCAAAATAAACTCCTT